CTCTTTTCTTTATTTGTGACATTTCGATCAACGCAAGTCATGCTACCAATACGCCTATTTTCTCGCTGCTTTATTAAAAAGTCTCTATCTTCCTGTATACTTATAAGCTTCAGAGCATCAACGTGGGCAATGTCAAATAAGTTGTTTAAATTTTCCTTAAACTCCTTTTCCTTTTTGCGACGACTCGGAAGCCGAGATTGAGATACTTTTTGCACTGTTTTCCACTCCTGATAAAGTTTAATCACTTTTGCAACACATCTTCTTGGATCTGGCGTTGGGATTCTGCTTTTTCCCAAAAAGGCAATACTTCCTTCAACACCAATCTTGAGCTTTCATTTACTGTTTTGTTTTCACAGCGTAAATTATAAAAAAACACTGAAGTACTTGCTGTCTTGATGGTAATTTTGCACCAACTATTTGTCTTCTGAGCCATTATTCAAGTTTGGAAATTAATCTTTCCAGTCAGAGAGTTGCAAGTTTTAGAAGATTTTTTGCTGACTACTTCTGGTAAAACTGTCAAACGATCAGCTGTTTGGCAATTTACTTCCCTGCAGGAATAGTTACACTCACTTCAGGCAACATTTGTATCAGCACGCTTAGAGCAGGGTGAAAAAAATGATGCAAGCGCTCGCTAATTTCTTGTCGGGATGTATATGTGTGAATGTGTATGTGGGGAAATTGACAGATTTCACATTTTTTACTGGAAGGCAATCCCGTAGCTTTTGGTGTTCCTCTCTCACTGAGAGCGAATTTTTATATTTTGACAGTTTAACTAGAAATGGTCGGAAAAGTAAAGGATCACAGCTAATGTTGAGAAAAACTATAGAAAAGAAAGTAGCAGCACTACGTATAGTATATCTAATTAAATAAAAAAATTAATTGAAAAAATGTATTTGGATGTTTTTCAAAAATGTTGACCTTTGACCTCATTGTGGCACGGGTTGTCAACATCCAATCAGCCTGAAAATTTGCTACATCATTTTTGGCATCAAATCGCATATTTTGATCGCTAGCCGGATTTGAAATTCCAAAAAAAAAAATTAACGCCAGGTCTAATGTGCACACACTCAAGAAGCACTTGTTTCAGCCCCAACATTTCCGTTGCACCACGAAAAGAAATGTTATTTAACGAATATTCCATATATTTTGATAAAAATCGAATTTCCGAATTGTTGAACAATATTCTATAGTATTATGTAAAAAATAATACTGCCGTCTGTCAGGGTACATTTTTGATCGGATCAACCGCGCCGTTAATCCGGCACAACGTTGCCGTCTCCCTGTGATATATGAGAGCCGCCAACGCTGTCTGGTTACCATTTAGAATTAGGATCCTCTCGTTTCGGTACCCTCTATTTATCATTAGCTGCGCACACAGATACATACATATATGTATGGCGCAAACCTTCGCTTGATGCGTAACAGCCTTCGGTCAATGAAAGTAAAGATAAAGGAAAGAGTAAAAGTGGCGTGAACAGGGATTATTTGACCGCCTGCATAACGATTCATCCTGTTTGTGTTTATTTGTTCTGATAATTTCAGCTGTTGATTTGAATTAGGGTTGCAAACATATTTCTTGGAATTGCATATTTGCAATACATAGTTGCAATGTATAGTTGCATACTTTGTTGTTGTTTTGCAAAAAATTCTACAGAAGTTTGCAAACGCAATGATGCAAGACCAAGATCCTGAACCGTCCAACCTTTTTAAATGTTTTACATATGTATGTATGTATGTACATACACATGTATAGGTTTGATACAAAGGTGATGCAGATCTTTGACAACAATTATTTGTGATATGTTTGTTTATTTTTTTCAGACACTTGGTACTAAAGGCTTTGGAAAACGTAGTCATGGAGCGACACTCAGTTGAACAACGCGTAAAAGTGATCCAAACGTTGATGCCGCTTAAAAAAAAAAAAATGATGCCAGTAACGCTGTTATGGTGAAAGGACATCATCGTGACATGGTTTATGGCCTGAATCAGATGGCATGGAAATGGACAAAATGTGGTTTCAACAGGACGCTGCCACTTGTCACACAGTGCATGAAAAAAAAATGGTTCCATTGCACGCTGTGCCTGAACCGAGAAAAAGTTCGACAAAAATGGATCCAAAATCGGACTGTTAGGAATGATTCTTTTTTATTTCACTATCAAAAATCTGTAAAATTTAAAATCCTAGCTCCTCTCGAGATTTCGGCGCATGGTACATACATTTTTCTCGTTTAGCTTAAAACAACATCATCATAGATTTTTGTTTTGTGCGACAAATATTAAAGCTGTCTTTGATAGACTGTTGTGCTCATTACGAATCCGTAAGTATAAAGCTGCCATCAGCACCAGATTTTGAGAAAAACGAGGTTAAAATATAACTGAGACTTTACGTATTAGGGAGTTAACCTCGAAAATGAGTATAATCTCTACATATGCATACGTCCCCACAGATATCACAGTCTTTGGAATGAACGTAAATTCTATGATCTATTTAACGGTATCAATCTGTGGCAAGGACATCCAAAATCGTGTTGAGTCGTGTGATTGATCGGACCAAAGTTTGGGTTAAAGTTATTGTCCCAAAAATAAAATGTAAATTAACCTTTTTCGATCGTGGTATACTTATATGTATGTATGCACCTATGTTTGTGTGTATATTTTTTTGTTTTGCAAAAAAGAAGGATTTTTTCCATTAATCATTTGTATATTGCAAAAACCGCTCGACCGCTGTGGTGTAGTGGTAAGCAGTGCGCGCTTTCACACATCAGCACCTGGGTTCAAGCCCTGGTCAAAGCAACATCCCAAAAAAATAGAAAACGCTTTTCTTAACAGCGGTCGTCCCTCGGCAGGCAATGGCAAACCTCCGAGTGTATTTCTGCCATGAAAAACAGCTTCTCATAAAAATACAATCGCCGTTCGGAGTCGGCGTAAAACTGTAGGTCCCTCCGCTTTGTGTGACAACATCAAGGCGCACGCCACAAGTCGGAGGAGAAGCTCGGCCAAACACTAACATATGTGTAAGCGCCAAACTATTATTATTATTATATTGCAAAAACATTTCCACATTTGCGTCACATGTGAACTCAAATGTGCGCAGCAGGGAAACGACATCACAGGAATTCTTTCATTCTAATTATCAACTCATAGCGTTTTGTTGTACTTGTGTCAACAGACAAACATGCGCTAAAGAAGATATGAATGCTTTCATTATTCGCACTCTTCAATTTCTAACAAAACGAAGAAATTGTGAAATCAACGGCATACAAAAGCAACAATGGAAGAAAAGTGGGCGGCCGAGCGCTTACATATGTATGTATGTATGTATGTGTATGGTAGGGTGGGTCAAATTGTTCGGACGACAGTTTTTCGGCCAGAGAAAACAAAATTATTATATTAAGATAAACATTTTACGAGTCATCTGTAACTATTATTCAAACCCTTATATTATAAAAGTCCTTTCACAATAATTATAAGACTTAAAAAAAAATTTTCGCACTTATAATTATTATGAATAGCAATGTTTAATATAAGTCTCAAAATAAAAGTCTTTGAAGAGTTAAAAATATTTATCTCAATAATAATTATTGTGACAATTTTTTTATAATGTAACGGCTCTTTTTTGTATCACTAGCAAAGTCTTTTCACAGTTTTTATTACGGCGAAATATATGTAAAAGTTTAAATTTGTCAGTAAAATAATTTTTGTCACCGATACAAATTAGGCTATAAGTCTCAAAATAAAAGTTCTTGAAGACTTGAAAATATATAGCTCGCTGATAATTATTATGAAAATACTTTTATTAAAAAAAGATTCTCACACATAATTATTATCAAAATACTTTTATAATTCTCACGAAAATTTATATGACTTTTTTAAAACTGCACCATGAAATAATTACTATTCTGGGTCTCTGTTTTCGGCAAATTGCATAGTATCTTCGGTTTCCATAGAGAATTCTAACAAAAAATGTAGCAGAAACTATAAGTCGAAAATGAGTTTCTAGCCTGGGCATTTAAAAAATATACTTTTTCTAAATTTTTATTTTTATTTTTTTGTTCTATGCCCATTTTGCAAAGTGTTCACCCTTTGTTGCAACAACTAATGGATACAAAATAACTATACATATTTTACTTTATAATATTTCTAATTGATTAACCATATTTACCATGCAAAAATAAACCCCGTGTCAAAATTATGAATATATATATTTTTTTATATAATTTTGATTTTTTTTTTGAAAGCAGTAAACTATCCTCTTTAACAAAAATCGTATAAATCCAAGTTTCAATCTTTGTGCAATACTAAAAAAAAATCAACAAACTTTCGTACAAAAAAGGGGAATCAATTTAATATCGTGCAGATGTGATTTTTTTCATTTAAAAAGGCGCAGGCTCGAAACTTATTTCCGACCCATGGTTTCTCCTACAATTTCTCTTATAATTATCTGCAGAACCAGAAAGTACAATACGATTTAGTAAATACAAAAATGACCCACCCACCCTAGTGTGTGTATATCTGTGTGTATGCGATTTGGTGGGAATTGTGCGGCGCATGCAAAACATTTCTAATTGAAGTTCAATGTCGTCAGTGGCGCACTTGCCACTTACAACAAACGGCTTCTTGCTGGTTGGTGCAGCTGACGGTAAGGTGAGCAGCGCCGATTGGTTGCCACTGGCACACTGGACACTGTGGTGTTCCAGCCGCTGCTCAAGTGTTTGCTCATGTTGTGGCCGTTGCATTGTGTGACAATTAGTGGTGCAGTGAAAATATATTTATTTGCATGTGAATACATTATCATTGTTATTATCATCTCTATTAGAGTGTTGACAACAAATATGCTTTTGAAATTTATAGACACATACATATATCTGTATGTATGTGTGGATATTTGAGTGATGCATTTATGCAATTTCCGTCTTACTAAATTTAATAAAAAATTTTTTTTTCTAACAACTTATGCACTATTTATCTAATTTTCATTCATCATTCGCTACTCTTTTCAGACGCTTGTCTACGTTGTCAGGCGGAAAATAAACGCGAAGTACTCGGCCGTCAGGATTGTGTGGTCGTTTGGGGCGAATGCAATCATTCATTCCATCATTGCTGCATGTCGCTTTGGGTGAAACAAAATAATCGCTGTCCACTTTGCCAGCAGGAGTGGTCCATACAACGCATGGGCAAGTGAGAATGCATGTGCGCCCGTTAAAATAATGAATGCAATTGCACTGGAAAAAGGGAAAAAATGGAATTTTTACATAAATTTTAAGAATACAATCGGTATTGGTATTACATACACATGTGAGCTGAATATTTCTCAATAGATTTAAGTTTCAATATTTGTCGAGTATATAATATAAGCCGAAAATTGAGAATGTACGTGGAGAGAAATGTTAGAATAAACTAAACTGTATTTGCGAGCAAGAATGAAGGGAAATGTAACTACAATTAGCGAAACAAAAAAATTCCGCATATGTATTTCGCATATAATTTGTTGTTCACCGAGATTTGAAAATTCGCTAGGATTGTTGTAACGGACTGGACTGCAGAAATTTTGGATTTAGCGTCGAGATATTGAACTCGTATTTGCACTTTTCGCTTAAAATATCCTCAACATCAACCATTGAAAAAAGTGTAGGGAAATTCGGGGAATTCTTGGACACGGGGTATTGTTTGAGAGCAAGATATTTTCCCCTTTATAATGCTTAAAGAGCGAAATACACCACACAAGCGGTTTGACAAACCAAGCGAAATTTCCCTTTGCTTCAAGCCATTTGTGCTGTGTATGGGGGTGTTTGAAGGTTTGACGGCGGTTTGTCAAACCTTCAAACACCCCCATACACAGCACAAATGGCTTGAAGCAAAGGGAAATTTCGCTTGGTTTGTCAAACCGCTTGTGTGGTGTATTTCGCTCTTAACAGTTTCAACCATTTGTCATCAACTCGTTTCATGCTGAGCTCATTTTCCATTGAGCACTCGACGTTTGTATACGCACCGTTATTTCGCTGCCATAGCAAATATAAATTTGATATATCGAGTTTTTTTACTTAGTATTTTGTTTATTTTGACAAGGTTTACCGCCGAACCAACTATATATATATAATATATTTATAATGCTCGTGGAAGCTTAGGCCTCCGACGCAGAAAAAATTTTGTATGAAGATTGTATTGCTTTACCTACTTATACGCCGCCGTTTTGAAAAAATTATTGGACACTTATTTCTTGACATTTGAGGGCTTTTTCTTGCATAATTTCCACACAGCATTAGTTTTTCGGCAGTTTTTAATAGGTTTTTGGATCGATAAATTTTGGTGTAGCCAGAATGCCTCTTTCGGCAATATCCGGAAGTTGCGCCGGAGCAAACCCGGGTGCTCACTGCGAATCGGAATAATTTTAATCGTCATATTTCACTTTATTCTATTAACTATGATGTCTTCTTTCGTTTTCGTTCACAAATAAATGTTTTCCGCCAATGATTTGAATTTTTAATAATTTCTCGTAATTTTTCAAAAGTGCAAAAACACAATTTTTGTGCTAACTGAAATAACATGTAATACAATACAATTTGATCAAACTGCTGATAGCAAAAGGAAGGTTATTTCTCGTACTACAAAACCAAGCTATAAAATGTTTAGAAAAAGTAAGTTTTTTTGCGAGTTATCGACCAAAATAAAAGTGTGTCCAAGAATGCCCCGACTTCGCCTACTCTGGTTTCTGGTAAAATATGTTCACTTTATTTTGTCGGCCGTGTTGTAGATTTAGTACAGTAAGCGTGCTTCCAACCTCTCAAAGGGTTACTATAATTACATTAAAACAAAGGTGGAAATAAAAATATTAATTAACTTATTAAAAAAAAACTCAATGAATAAAAATGCGCAAAAAGGCAATATTGATTGAAATTATGACAGGTGAAGTAACAAGATCGAAAAGAAAGATTTGACACCATCTTATTTGAAAGTTTACTCTTAAAAATTGTTATAAGATAGCCAAGTGTCAATAAAATAAAGCGAGAATGCTTATAATTTGACCTTGATAAATTGAATGTAAAAATTGGATACAAAAGAAAATATTTTCGAGCACTTAATATTTTCCTTCAGCTTCTTTAAGGTAGTCTGTGCCAACTGGAGCCAATTGGAAATTCCAAATGAAGCCAAATTTTCTTCTCCACCTAGTGTAACCATCGCAGCGGCGGCCTTTGCATCGCGACCCGCATTGAATACTTTCAGATTCTTATTTCTTATCTCGTCTTTTACAAAATATTTGTTCAAGCAATTTTCGTATGTACGGATATATTTTTGTAAATATATCTTGCACATAAACGAGCATATAAATCTACATAAAAATTGCTATTAATCTTCCTGGTTAAAAAAATATGATTTGCTTAAATAATAGAGTTTGCAAATTAGATCGAGTGTGGATTTTTTGTTTCGCTAGGTGTAACTAATTTAACTAAAGTGAAGCAATGAAATGTAAAGTTGCAAAACTTTTAAAAGACAATGCAAATGTAATTGAAGTTTATTTGTGTATAACATTTATTTTTCTGTATAAAAAAAACTTGTAAAAAAATTATGCCCCGGGTGAGGCTCGAACTCACGACCTTAAGATTATGAGACTTACGCGCTGCCTACTGCGCCACCGAGGCTATGCTAACTGGGCGCCTATAGCTGTATAAGAACAGAGCTGCCAAAAAGTGTGTGTGTGTGTGCGCGCGCGCGTTTATGATGCTTGAGTTAGAATATGATAAACAATGCCGAAATCAAGGACGTATATTACATGGTGAGCCACAAAAGTGAAGGCTTATTTACCTGATTATTCTATTTCTAACTGGAATAAAAAATTTCGTTAATGCCACAATTCATAAAATATAAAACTGATCAGGAGAGAGATTCTGTAACCAGTTAGCGACAATTTCGTATCGCTATCGCAATTTTTGACGCATGATATGAATGTTTTTGCGTCAAAAAGTGCGATAGCGATTCGTAATTTGCCGCTAACTGGTTCCAGGGTCCGCAGCCAGAAATCCCAGGGGTTAATTTCAGTAGTTAAAAAGTCCTTCCGAAAGGCGTTCCTAAGAGTTATTCGTTTCTCCTTTCTTTTTTGAATGGACTGACACAAATTGAAGGGCTTCATCGTGCGCTACCCATGGAAGGCCTTCCATTGCATTGTTTGTGCTTTTATAGGACGTACTTCAGACGGCCTTTTGAAGGAGTTCTTTTAAAATTGCTTCTTTAATTTATAAAAACCATACATCTTGAAGCATTTGCTTAAGGTTTATAGCGAAATATGTGTTATTGCAACTTAAAATGTTTATTCAAACTCATTTTTAATGCTAAATAATATAAATTTATGCATTCGCGTAAATTGCAAATGGATAAGCTCTTCTAGAAGGCATGCAAGGAAGCACTTTTTTCAGCCCTTCGAGGGTAGGCTTTTAGAATGAAGGCCTACCTAAATTATCTTCTGGGATGTTTTATAATTAGATAATTTTATTGAAAGTGTCATTTTGTAAAGTTATACAATATTTAGTACTAACGTCTACAAATTTATTTTCTTTTGATATTAGATTACAAATTGATTTTTTTTTATAACCTGGAAAGTTATACTTCATTGTATCAACGAGCTAACTAGTTTTTCTAACCTTCTTTTGATAACGTTACTGAACGTTGCTGAGAATATATCAATGTCTGTGAGACGTATGATGGTTTTCTTGTTATAATTTCGTGGTAATATCACTACGAATATTTTTTCCAAATATAGATTTTTAAATTTTTTTTTTTGTATGCAGACGATATATTTAATTTAATATTTATTTGTTCCAATTTACAACAATCTAGTTCCCACAATTTTCAAGAAAAAGAAATATGTTTTCTTATACAATTTTCGGATTAAAATTATCCTTCCTATTAATCAATCCTAAAATCCAAATAAATTTACTTTTACAAGAAAATCTCCAATACTTCAACTTTTATTTTTATTATTTTTTATGCTTCGCGAACACACCCTGTCTTTAAAAATCGTGCTATGAAACACCCTGCGATGGCACGTCAGCAGTTTCGAATAAGTCATTTTGCAACCACCGACCACTTGTCCCTTTGGCGCAGAGGATAGCGCGTTGGACTTCTAATCCAAAGGTCGCGGGTTCGATCCCCGCAAGGGATGTCATCTTCATGGATGTATTTTTTTTAACTTTATTTAATCTTTATTCAAAAGACATTGCAAACACCAATTACATGTACACATTTTTTAAATGTGAATTTTGTTTCCGATCATGTTATTTTGCAGGATAATCTCTGCATAAAACACAGCTGTGCGGGTTAAATAGCTACGCGCCACCATTCGTCCCTTTGGCGCAGTGGATAGCGCGTTGGACTTCTAATCCAAAGGTCGCGGGTTCGATCCCCGCAAGGGATGTCCTTATTAATAGACAGGACTTTACATACATATGTATATATGTATGCACGTCTAAAGTCAACTTTTTCTGTTACGGAATATATATTTCAAGTTCGAATTTAATTTCTAAGAAATTTTTTGATGTGCTATTAGCGGTAAGTACATATCAAATCCAGTTATTCCCATAGAGCAATGAACATTTAATGCATTTAAAAGCTTTTCACAAACAAGTGTTTATATTTTCTTTAAATTGCGGTTTTTACATAAAAATAATAACATTCATCCTATTAAGATCCTAACATGTAAATTAAAATCATGCTTTCAACAGACACAAAACATCAGTTGGCTTCAACTTTTTTATTAGCCTGTCTAATTTCAGAAGATATTTAATATCTTGCTGGTAGTTCACGTCTTTGGCTGCAAAGAAGGGGATAGATTCCTTTCCAGAACATTCGTATTTAACCGCAACTTTTCCACGCCTGTTGGGTCGGTCAACTCTTCCTCGGCCAAGCGTTCAGCGCGACACTCTTGTATAGATTCTAAAATAAATATAATTTTATAAAACTACTTTTTTTTTATATGTACTTACTGCTATATGGCGTGTATCTGTCCGAGAGCTTTCGCTCGAGATTGTAACCAATGAAACCCACAACTGCAGCAATAGGTAGCGTTATGTAGACAGCATTGCGGCGCAGTACCGCCATGATAATGGGCCACATTTTTTACTATTTAAAATTTTGTACTTACTATTAAAAGGGCCGGATTCTTGTTATGATTACACAATATTTATTATGTTTTATCACGCTCAAAATATATCTATATAAAACCTTGCATTTGCTTGCCGGCGTACTTAAGATAATCAGCTGATTCTGCTTCGAGCCATTTTTGACGTTTTATATTCCCGCTTATTCGTGGTTTTAGCACCACCCTGTGTCTAATTTGAATAACGCGCTTGAAAATGTTTTTCGCGTATGTACAAATTGCGAGTGTTAACATAATTGGACCAATTAATTGTATTTACTATAGTGAAATATAAACAAATTCAGATTGTTTTAAGTTTTAGTTCTGTGTTTTGTAGCTTATACAAAAACTGAGTTATGGAGTTTAAAGAATACAAGCAGCAGCTAGTGAAAGTGGCCGCGGCGATATAAGCCAAATGCAAGGTGCTTGCAACACGCGCAAATCAAAAGAATTTTTATGTTTGCTTGAGTACTATTTAGCGGTAAGTTTTTATTGTATGCTAATATATAAAATATTGTAATTTTTTATCATTTGAGTCTTCCCCCACATCCCCGACGAGTTCACACATATTTTATTACGCCAGCTCCCTTATCGTATGGTATCGTATTTCTTAAAACTAATTGAAGTGAATTTCTCCTTTGAATTTTCAACTGGAGCATGTATGCGTATCTGGCGCAAATGTGTGTCGCGTCCATTCTGATGATTTGCTACAATTGCAATTTGCAACATGTATATGCGCACGGGTCTAGATTTTCCATTTTCTACCTGTATCGCAGTCCAACCTGAAATGTAATTGGCGTGAAATATGTTAGTTTTTAATTGGCCCCAGAAAACCTTCAATTACTCACCTGTTGGCTCAAAAAGCTCATGATTTTGTAACTCTTGCAAGTCATTGAAGTTCGAGCCAGTTCTTAGCGAAATGCGTGAGGGTGTATAGCTCTCATCGAGTTTGTAATCGGCATATAAATACACTGCACTAATTCGCGTCTTGCGATGAAACTGCACATTGACTAAATGCGGTAGTTGGCCATCAGACTGCCAATAAGTGTCGATTATATTATCACGCAGACGTTCAACGCCAAATCCTTGTGGAGAGAATTTTTAGTCTTACACATGTAAACTGAATATATATGTGTGTGTATATATATACCTGGCTTGCAAGACGACAGACTCCAAACAGCTTGGTTGCCAATTTCTCGCACAGCTCCGGAACGTTCAAGTGGAAGCGGATCTTGGTTACTGATCTCCTCATCGCCGTTCCCTTCCATTTTGACGAAAATTTATAAAAAGGGTTGGTCCTGGTCGCGGTTCAATTATATTTGTGGCTGTTCAAATGAAATATTTTTGTTTGTTTACGCTGTTCAGAATGGAAAAGAAATGTCAGAAGAAGAAAACCGCACTAGTCAGCTGTTTTGTGTTTTCCTCTTATCGGACATGCGCCATGCTTATCGGATTACTGCTAGGGTTGCCAAAATAAAATTACAACAATAAACGATTGAAGGGGTTCGCCGATCTAAACAACAACAACAAGAACAAAACGTAATTAAATTTAAAATGCCTATAACTAAATATAAGTGGCTAAAATATTAAACTATGGTTTGAATTGAGCTTTCGTAATTTACTATTAGCTTAAATATTTTTCAGAAATCCATTTTTAGTGTAAGCAAAGAACGTAAATCTATAAAAAGAGACAACACGTTATAATTGTAGCGAGTGTTAACATCAGGAGCGCGCCCTCTACGTTTTACCCAAATACGTTTCTTGATTGGATGGAAAGAGAAGGCATGCTCCTGATGTTCACACTCGCTACAATTATAACGTGTTGTCTCATACATTCACAATCTTTGGTGTAAGCGAAAAAATCCTCCAAATCGTCTTGATTGTGCAATATTTTCATTTTCATGATATGGCAACTGCCAACTTTATTTTGCGTTTGGTCTTTGACGTTTGCATTTTTAAGTTGTTAATAAATAGCAGAATTTATTTTAATTTCCATCTGTAATGTGTAAAAGCAAACATTGAGATTACAATGAGTCTGGAGCAGGGTGAACATTTGTTGGCGTTGAAAGGTAAGTAGCCAGATATCTGTATAATACAAAGTAACCACTGTTCTTGTAGTGATGCGCCTCACTAGGCCTACACTCATCGGCCCACAAGTGATTTCCTGCGAAAATCGTGATTTGCCACAACAAACCTTTCGTCGCCGCATGCTGGAGCATGACAGTACAACTGTTGCGGGGGCGGAAACTTTAGCAGCGGGACAGTTTATGCTGTTGCCACAGTCGTTCGGTTCCATATATTTGGGTAATTGAACTGAATGGGTATATTTTGCCCCTTTCTTCAGTTACATACGTACAAATCAATATGTATCTTCTGCAGGTGAAACATTTGCCAGCTACATTTGCGTGCACAACTGCACTACTTATTCGGTTGAAGGTGTTACGGTAAAGGCTGATTTACAATCCAATACTACGCGCATTAATCTGCCAATGAATGAAAAGCAGACGAGTACCACACTTACGCCAGACCAAACGTTGGACGATGTGATACGCTATGAAGTAAAGGAGATTGGCACACACATGTAGGAGAACATGCAACATGTATTGCAGAGACTTTCTTATTTGTTTATTCTATATTTTTACAGCTTGGTATGCGAAGTGAACTATACCACGCCTGCTGGGTTTCCACAATCCTTTCGCAAATTCTTTAAGTTTCAAGTACTTAAGCCACTTGATGTAAAGACTAAATTCTATAATGCAGAAATGGATGAGATCTATCTGGAAGCGCAAATACAAAATATAACCACTGGACCTTTTTGCTTGGAGAAAGTCGAGTTGGATAGCTCTGAACACTACACCGTTACCCCACTAAACACACTATCCAATGGCGAGTCGGTGTTCTCATCAAAAAATATGCTGCAACCTAATAATAGTTGCCAATTTCTGTACTGTATTAAGGTAGGAAAAGTTGCATATCAGCGCTGATACTGCAATACAATTCGTTTTCTTTTTGTTGAAGAAGAAGTTGAAAGATTATAGATAAATGCAGCCATAAATCCTTCTTGCTTTTTGTTTTTTTTTAATTTCGAAGTGCAACTTGGATTTATTAGTTAACTTAAAAGCAACTCAATTTTTGATTCGGAACTAGCACTCGGTATTTTTATAGATTTTTTTGAGAGTTGTTTTGCACTATCACTGATGATGTGTACATATATTTCTGTGTTTGTAGCTTATGTCGGGAAGCTGGCTTTAGTATAACGTGGCATTCCCTTTATTCTTTACACGACAAGGAATTCTTTGATGATCCTTAATAAGAATATCGACTTGCCAGTATCGGAACTATTTCTGCACGTTTATTAGCCAAAAGTTCTTTAACGGCTCGGCGCCAGAGAGTCATTCGCAATCGTATGCTGCGAATGCCACATTATACTGAAGCCAGCCTTTCGTCATAAGCAACTATTCCATACGAAGACGTATTTAAACATTATATACAACGTAATTTACTTATTGTTTAGCCTAAAGCCGAAATTGCAAAAGATATTAAAGCCTTAAGGCAAGCAAATACCGTTGGCAAATTGGATATTGTATGGCGTTCGAATCTTGGCGAAAAGGGCCGCTTGCAGACCAGCCAGCTTCAACGTTTGGTAACTATTTTTAACATATTAATAAACTTATAGATAAGTATTTTCATATTCATAATACCCTTTCAGCCTTTCGAATACAAAGATGTGCGACTTGAAGTGATTGACGCACAAAATATTGTCAAAATAGGTGAACCCTTTACATTTGTGTGTCGCATTACAAATACCGCTGAACGCGTAATGGATTTGATGGTCAAATTAGAGACACAACTTGAATTCGATTGCGAATACAGCGGTGCAGCTGAATTTTCGATTGGTAAATTAGCACAAGGTGAACAACGTGAATTTCCGCTCACAGTCTGTCCGGCACGTTTAGGCCTTATTAAAATTAGTCCACTCTTGCTGACAAATGTACTGCAACAGGAACAATATATTATCGATAAGGTAGTGGATGTGTTTGTTGTCGATACGGATTATCACGAGGATGAAGCATTCCAAGTAAATAAATTTGTACGTTACGATAATGCATTGTCAGCGGAAACGGAGGAGCGCACACTGCAACTGCAAGTGGTGTGAGAAGCTGGAAGGCTAAAAAGGAAAATACTATGCAGGCAAAGTCAGCACAAGTTGTATTGCATACCATACACTAAAGGCACCACTTATGTACATGAGTGGCTGGAAATGTCACTATTCAAAGTATGGAACAGTTAATGGCAATTTTTAAAACTAAATATTAATTAATAGCGAATCGTTGTATTATTATAATGTAATAATAACTATAAATAAACTTATTAAAATGTTTAGTTTCTTTCAATCCTTATAGCTATGAAAAATAATTAAATTTTCTTCTTAACGCGTTAGCAAAAAATTGACAAGTTTTCAGAACATCACTCGAACTTTTAACCCTAATCGGAGCACACATTGCCTATATAAGTGTGTACATACATATGTATGCACACATTAACTACATATGTATGTATATATGCATCTATGGACATGTCGCACGCTTAATAATATATAAAAATTTACATTTTGTGAGAAAACCCAATCAAAGTGAGGTATGAGTTCAACCTGCTGCAGTAACCAGAGCGCAGTTGGGCTATGGTGGCCCGAGTCTCCCGAGGCCGAAGAAGTTCTATCTCGTCCAAATCTGGTGGTTGTATGTCCAGAACGGCATTCACAGGTCGAGTCTACATAACTCGAGACTGCCTCTCTGTGAATGCCGTTCAAAGCCTGTCGATGAGCTGTCGGGTCCAGAGGTTGTTTGATGAACCTCTGGATTTCGTCCGTCAGTTCGTAGAGATGCTTTCTGACGTGACTGGGCGAGGGCTCTTCTGTAAGCAGTTGTCTGTTTGGGTGACCACGTCTGTGGTTCCCAACTAGAAACTGCTTGCAGAGCATTGTGTTATGCTCCTTAACGGGGAGTATATGGGACTCGTCGTGCAGGTGATGTTGCGGCGACATTAGAAGGCATTCTGTCGCTGTCCTGAGTGCCGTGTTTTGGCAGTGTGAAGCTTCATCCACTGCGTCCTACTAGTCCCCGGTGACCACATGGGCACTGCATAGCTCAGAACCGGCCGGCCAATCGCCGTTTCTTTGTCTTTTCCCCAGGTGCTGCCGGCTAGCGACTTGTGGACCTTGTTGCGGCTTTGTACTTTGTTGACAATTGCGGTTGTATGCGCCGAGAAGGAGAGTAGACTGTCGAAGGTTGCTTCGAGGATCTTCGGGTTCGTCTGTTATGCTAGACATATTCTCCTTATCAAAAGTATTAATTTTATGATGAAATCTCCAAAAACGTAACTTTTGAATTACATATCCATATTATTAAACGTGCTATCTATCGAAAATTATACAGTGCCGGACAAAAGTATTGGCACAGAGAATTTTTCGCAATATCTGAAAAGTTTTTCATTCTAATTTATTTTCGATAATTTTTTATAAATATATAGTTCGTCCTACACCAAAAAACATAAAAACGAAATCTCTAAATTTTGTGCAAAACTCAGGAAAATTCAATAAATTTGCATACTTATTTGCAACTTTCTATTCAGATTTTTTAGAAAAATTCTAAGTATGCAGTTTTATAGCTCAACTAATTTTAGTATAACAAAGTGGAAGCTTGAAGGTGCTAAAAAATCGCATTGATTTTTGGCAATTTTTTTTCAGTCAGGTTCTTCCGTACAAAGTATGTTCGACAATTTTTTTTTGTATGGAGAAAATGAGCAACACCTTCTACTAAAAAAATGTCCAAAAATCAACGCAATTTTTTAGATACTTCAAACTTGCACTTTGTTATACTAAAATTAGTTGGGCTATAAAACTATATACTTAGAATTTCTCTAAAAAATCTGAATAGAAAGTTGCAAATAAGAATGCAAATTTATTGAATTTTCCTGAGTTTTGCACCAAGTTTAGAGATTTTGTTTTTATGTTTTTTGCTGAAGTACGAACTATATTTTTTTATTAAAAAATATTGAAAATAAATTAGAATAAAAAACTTTGCATATATTGCGAAAAATTCTCTGTGCCAATACTTTTGTCCGGCACTGTATATTTATACACACATATGCATATATTTCAAAATATTTATTTTGTTGGGAAAAACTAACCAAAGTTTGACCAAGTAGTTGGTTTACAAAAAAACATATGGACGACGCTTATCTTCACCATTTTTCTGGACTTTAGTTACCTTTTAGACTGAACATATTCTCCTTCTCAAGCTTATATTATGAAATATCAAAATTTTGAATTAATTCTGTGTATTAAGTTCTTAAATTCTTAAAAAAGTAAAATAGTTCTTTGTACCCTTCAAAAGTTCAATGAATGTAATCGTTTATTGAAATTATTGCATGTCAAAACAAAATTAAAGCTTTAGTACTTATTTATCAGCCAATTTACAACTTCGATAATGCGCTGCAGTGCACTCAATAAAAGCTGATTTGCATTCATTAAGAAATTACATATCTAAATTTTAAAAGCAGTTTCGCATGCGCGCACCATGTGAACATTAGGCCAAATACATACTCGAATACATACATATCGCTAGTTTAGAGTGAAAATCTGCCAAGTCCAATTATGAAAATTTTACAGCAGAGGAAAAAGCTACCCAAAATCTTTTTTACAAGACTTGAAACTTGAAACTTAATTTCAAACCCGGTGACAATGGCAATGTGAAAGATAAATTAATCCGATAGGTGGAGCGTTGTCGAGATATTTGAAAAATCCGTATTTATAGACCGATATGGTTCATATTTGGAATGTATATTAGAAAGAAATAACACCACTAAAAATTTAGCCGCTAGGTGGGGCCTACATAGGTCGATTTTTTTTTATTAATCACTATGTATACTTCCAAAGATATATTACTAGAAATAAAACTGAAAATTCGCTTCGGATAAAATTATCTTTGAAATACATTTATGCAGGTTTTATGTACAGTATGTAATTAATAAATACACTTTTTTCATAAATTGCACTTTATTTAAATAAAATTAACAAGGAACTTACTTCTTACTTCTTTGTAACTTTATTTCAATTCAAAAGTTATGACACCAAAATAGTCAGAAATTAGTCAGTCTGGTTGAATGGTCCCTGAATCATATTTATAACGAAAGAAAGACTCTTTTAAGACTCATAAATTCTGAGCACTCAGAAATTGTTTAAAGGGTATGTATGTATGTATGTACGTGAATCTCCTATAATCAATTTGCTATTTTGGGTAAAAAATGCCGATATATTTGTTATATGACTTAATTTTATTTTTTATCATTGTATCGCCATTTCGCCTCGTAAATCTTGAATTTGTTTGAAGCGAAATTTACGATTAAGCAAATGTTTGCTTGTCTACGCATTTTTAAATATGTAACTGTCTGCGGCAGACTAGCTGGATGTTGTTCGCAATTTGCTTTATTTTTTATTTTTCACTTATTTAAGTGTCCTCGATTGCTTGCAGGTGGCTGCTTTTAAGCTCGCTGCTTGGAAGCTGCGTTAGTGGCGTTGGTGGTTGGTGTAGGTGCGGTGGATGGTGGTGCTGATAAGTTAGATTTATTTATAAGCCTTCGTAGAGATGTTTACAAGCCTGTATGCAGTTGTGAACATAATATATGTATGCACATTAGGGTGGTCCAAAAATGCATGCGAAAAAAGTAAAGTGGGAATTTTATGTTCTCACCCCCTAGGATTGTTCTATACCGAAAAAAATATACCCCTATTTTTTTTTTATTTTGAAATCAAAAAATATTTAGAGTTCGCTCAAAGCGCCCAAAGTTTCCCATGTATTTTTATATGGGAAAAATGGTATTGAATTTTAAAAAAAACAATAATTTTCTTTCAGAAAACTAAAAGAGTTTCTGCAGAAGATTTCTAATAATAATACCAAATTTTTTATTTAACCATTTTTTCATCGCAAATATAATTTATAGGTCCGCCAAAAACCCGCAAAAACCCCGAAAAATGCAATGGTGGGGACAAATAAAAAATCATTGGTATTAAAAAATGGTTAAATAAATAATTGGGTATTATCCCTGTAAGTCTCCTGAAGAGAACCAGAGTTTTCCGATCGAAAAATATTGATTTTAAAGAATTCTATGCCATTTCTAGGAAAAGTTGTTTTTTTCCCATATAAAAATACATGGAAAACTTTGAGCGCTTTGAGCGACCTCTAAATATTTTTTGATTTTAAAATAAATAATAGGGGTATACTTTTTTGATATGGAACAATCCTAGGGGGTGAGAGCACTACAATTCCGACTTTAATGGGTTTGTACCACCCTAATGTACATATATTTGTGTATGTATGTGAGCACAGTCATGTGTGTGAGATTGCATTTAGTCGATGTATGTATGCAGTTTCTTATCGCATGTAAAATAAATCCCCAACTGTCATTTACATGTTTTATTCAACTGCTGGGGTGGGGGGTGTGTGCGAGCGGTAGATGGCTTAACTATAAAGATATATTGAATATTTAACTCGCTAATATGCTTATATCTAATTCCCATGCTGTTATATCAGCGACATTCGCTTGGCTTCTTCCGGTTGGCAGCAATTTTTACTGAAAAAAATGCTGTGTATAAAGCAAGGCAATTTAGAAAAAAAACTATATATTTTTTTGTTGTTCAACAGAGTGGTTACATTTTTCGTAATATCTTCGGCATTTACAGTCGAATCTTAAAGTATGATATATTGATATTTTTGTATTTAGAAGAAATTTTTTTGTTCCAAAGTTCGTTGACCACAAGCACCCCATTGTGGTACTTACCTACCAGATCTCAGTTTTTACCACCCTAATGCCAGCAAAGTAGAGCTCGCCAAAAAGCATTAAACTTTTGCTAAGAAAGTAGTTAATTTGATTATATTCCAGTAGAACTATATAACAAAAAGTGTCATTCCCACATGTATGTACATAGATGTCACCAAAAAATATAAAATGCCAAATTTTTTTTTTTCGAAATAGCCTTGCAAAAATATTTCAGTTTCAGGGTTGTACGGCGAGCTTTTATATTTGCTTGGAAGGGGTACGGTCAAAATTTTATCCCAGCAACTTAAGATCTGTTCATAGAACATGACGTATAAATAAACAGTTCTTGAATATTTTATCAAAAAATTAGTCTTTCCTTAAAAATTAGATGGACTGTAATTATGTAGTAATTCAATGTTACTTTTAGATTTTTAAACCAAAAAGATAGTGGTGAAATGAAGTAAAAGGTAAACAATATTTCTTAATATTTTGGCTTCTTTCGAAATTTTTGGGAGATTTGATCAAAACGGGGCCTTAAGACTTTTTCAGGATGTTTTATGAC